CGCTTGGGCTGCAAATTGTTTCCTTTGCTGATAAATATCTTTTAATTTATTGTTCTTTTGTTGACCCGCTATAGCTGCTAGACGATGATAAGGAGTCGAGCGAAAGCTATTATTGATCTAATTTAGACTGATTTTCTCCGACGTTTTTTTGGGCATTTTTGCAATATTTAATTTTTTCAAATTGAAAACAAACGTGAACAAAGTTACCAAAGTTCATATTACACCTTCCACTTTATACCTGTTGCCTATATTGACTGAAGAAGTTTCATTATCTGTTGAAAATCTTGAACGGTTCGATAAGGGTAAAGTAATATGAAAACCGTCATATAGGTTTTGTACAATACGAGCGGTATCGTTAACTTGGCTGCAAACTTTTCTAATTAGAAAGTTTCGGAAAGTAACGGCGTACTAATAAATAATTATCTCTTGCGTTTTTCTTTCGTGCTCAAGGATTCTTAAAGTTCTTCTAAGAAAGACTCTCTATGTGAAAAGAAAAGTAAAGCCGATTATAGGCAACTCAATTTTAAAGTGAAAAGGAAAAATTGTGAAACTTAATAGCGTCAAAATAGAATACAATGCACAAACAAATGATTTATCAATTCAATGATTGCCCTATTCAATTGTCTCAGTAAAATATGCAGTATTTATAGCTGGTAAAGTAAAAAGGTATTTTATTTATGCTAGGGATAGTAAAAATATTCCTAGATGGATATGAGTGTTCAAAATGTGGATAACTTCATCATCATCATCATCATAATCATAGTCACAATGTCATGTCAGACATGTTGTGAACTCATAAAATATACTAGGTCAGAACTGGAGGATTCCCGACATGCAGGTTGTCAACTGTTTTGAAAACTACATTCCGCCATCTTTCGCGATTAATTGTCAATTCGGTCGCTCTTGCGATACTAAGATCTAGCAATTTTTCTGTCGCATCCGCCCAGCCTTTGGGAGAACGGCCACGACGCCATCTTTTCGGGGCATGACCCTGGACAACAAGTTTTTCCATATTATCACTTCTATGCATATGTCCGAAAAACGTCAGGATACTTTTTTGTATTTCCGAGTTCGCTCAATATGGAAACGTTATTTCGGTGAGCTGTATGAGGAACTCTTAATGTGACAAAATTGAGATGTTATGTAAGAATTGATATTTTGGTAGTATGAATAATTCTGTCACATCTTAAAATTTCGTGGTAAATTATGCTGAAAAGTAAATTTGATGTGAAGCAGTAAATAACAGTTTTCTGAACCGGAGGCAGTCTGAACGAAATCTTCTTCCTTCTCTTCTTGGAGTGGTTATTGAAGGGTGTTATTAGAGACTCAAAATTAGTACCACTTACCACTTTTCTGCTGAAGCTGGAAACACCTTCTTCAACTGCACAAACCTGCACGTAAGATCTTTCTACGCCACCACCAGTGTTTTAATGAGACTTTTAAAACCAGAAAAGTAAAGACTAATTATGAACGATTGAAATTAATTTATTTATGAGTGGAAAGAAAAGTTAGCGTTAATTATTTGAAGATAAAAAAAAGGTAAATAAAATATAAAAAAAATACCTTATCTAATTAATAGACAATAAACAATTTTTAACTAAAGAAGAATTAAAGACAATTGAAAGTAAAGAGAGTAATTTTCCAATTAAAATATTAAGTTCCAAATCTGACACTTTATTGTAATCGAAATTAAAAATAACTATCACCTCTTTGGAGAGCTTTTACTAAAACACCGGGCGGCAGATGAACTAGAGGATGAGAAACGGATCGAGAACTCGTTGAGACTTTGCAACCTAAACTTCCGGCGATAACTCGTAGTAAAAACTAGTGGCGAATTGGCGATAACTGGCCTCAACATCTGCTTAAATAAGCGAAAGGAAGCACCCTCTGTGTACCACTTTAGAAGCCTATTGGCTACCCCTCAGTACCGGGCTTGCGAGAATCGACAAAGTCGAGGATCTCCAACCCTCTTAGCTTTCAGCGATTCGCTGAAAGCTGAAAGTACCTTTTGGTTTCTTGTCGTGCTCCCATTGGGTTTCAGGTTTATTCAACCTTTCCTATACAAAATTCTCCACCCTGTGATCCAGTTTGATGGCTCTCCAACAGAGTTCGCTAGTCAGATGTGGTCAAATTATTAACATTTAATGTTTTCCCATTTAATTGAAAACCTTTACCTTTTCTAATTACCCAATATGCTTTCTATTCTTATTTCTTAATTTCTAACCTAATTATCAAGGGTGTGAAATGAACTAAACTATCCTCTATTAATATAATTATATTGTTATACAATGGGGTATTATACTATGTTTAAAAATCAGTCAAAAAACTGCTCGACATGATTCTATAGCCCTTTAACGGGCAAAATTATCCTGAAACTATTTTATACAGAAAATGCTAATTATGCAGTCTTCTGGAAACAAGAAAAGATGATATGTCACTAGCAATCCAGTTTTCTATTTTTTTCCTCTCTATATTAGGCGGTAAACCATTTTACCAGAGACCATTTAGGACTCGACTAAATATGTAGGTAGTGTTCTCTGGTACAAACCCTATACCACACCTTTATAAATAATGCAATAATAATATGGAATTTCTGGGGATCAGAATAAAAAACACAATAGCTTTCAAACAGATTTATAACAAAAACGAAATATACAATAACTGAAGAAAAATCACATCAAACTCTATAGCAAATCCATATGATCCTAAATATGGTCCCACATTTTTCCTAATCATCGGATATTGTGAAAACTGGATTGACAAAATCGAAAACTAATCAGAAAAATATTGTAATAAAAATTAGTGCAATTTAAAATTTTTCATTATCGTTATCACACCACAAAATATTATTTTCAATGGTAAAATTGACAATTATTATGTATACATTTGAAAGAAAATTTGGGAAAAATTTTCCTAGCGCAAAAAGAACAGGATGAAAACTTGATTAATATTTTAATGAGATATGTATAGGAAGCATGTATCAAAATATGAATCTTGAAATAGGAGTAGAACTTATAGAAAAAATAATTCAAAATGTGTACAAAATTCACAAAATTAGTTCTAAGTTGTAAATATGTCTAGTTTTTTACTAACAATCTGAGTACAGCATTAGAAATTTGAATTTATATCTATTTAGTATACATATATAGACAATAATTACCTATTTGATTCATCAAAATCCCTTCCGGATTATAAATATTGACAAAAAAATTAATTGAAGCCCATAAAATAACATGATTGATGTTTCTCAAGTCCCACTGGTATATATGGTGTACCACTTTTAAAAATATGACCGCATCCAGAAAAATCTTGTGATAAACTCACGTCGGAGATCAACGTATATTGAATAACGATGTTTTTAGGATGATTACAACCAGATTTTTAGGGTTCAAATAAGGAATAAACAAGGTGGTACTAGGTTTATACCAGAGAACGTTAAAGGGATAGGCTAAATGGTGATGGTATAGTGGGATACTAAATTATTTTTCAGCATAGTGTCTATAGAATTTGTCAGAGAAAAACAAACTGTATTTTGAATTTAGCGCCACAGCGGCGACCAATAGTATTTAAGCCGCTGACCATCTGGCAACGCTGCAAAATGCCTCAAAATGACAGCTGACTTCAACAGTTCAATTATGTGTGGTGTCGTGTGAATCGTGTGACATGTGACAGTGTCACAGTAACTTTTTTACGGTTGTTGGATGTAGTAACTTTGACGTTTCGTTCTTGACAGTCAATGTCAGTGCAAGTTGTGCGTTCTCAAAACCATGATGTGTTGCCAGATTGGAAAAACTAACTACGTCACGAACTTTTATTTTCACGTAGGGGCGGGGATGAGAGGAAATTAAAAAATAATAAGGCTATTGCCAGGTTATTGCGGTTTTCACAAAGCAACTGATTACACTAATGGCCGGTATTATAAAACACTGAACCGATGGTTGAGTTTCAACCTTCGGTTGACTCCATGCAACTTGATAGGATTCAACCGAAGGTTGAAACTCAACCATCGGTTCAGTGTTTTATAATACCGGCCCTAAATAGTACGATACGTCGAGTATATCACTACGTAGTAGTTAAAAATCACTTGTATAGTACCCCATTGATTATTGTATCTTAAAAATCCAGGTCATGTAATTATTGCTTCGCCACACACACATATGCTTCGAATATAGCTACATAATTCTTTGAAGCGCTATCAGTTACCTGGCATCTGGGTTCGTCATAAAACGTGGGTAGTCAAAGTTTAGTGTTTATCTCGGAAAACATAAATTTTGCCAATTTATTTGTCAATTTTGGTTTACAGCAATAATAATCTTGAAACTATTAAATTCGATAATTTCCTGGCTTTCAAGTGATTTTTACCTTCGAACAGATTAGGGCGTTCGCAGAACTCCATGTGTTTGTGAATTTCATTAGGGTCACATTTTAGCAATCTATTAAAAAAAAAAACTTTTCCCACGAAAGATGAACTTGAATCGAAAATATGAATTTGCTATTGATTTTGTTACAAATTACCCTCCCCTTAAGTTCCAAGTATGTTTGTAGACCTCGAAACAATAATCACTCATGACAAATCCTCCAAGATACAACATCTCATCCCCACAATTGATACGTAGTAACGAGCGCACACACTCTCGAACTATAAGTCACGCGGGTTATTTTTTTCGTCGTTCACTTTACAGTTAGGATCACTACACGGAACAGCATACTTTGGCAGTACTGGATACAACGAACTGTTTGACTGTTCCTGGGGGGCAGTAGCATAAACTGACACTGGATTCAATTCAATCTTCTGATCTTCCTCGTCACAATCTCTTCTCTGGTTGGCTAACTGATACAAATATGTATGGGCTAAAGTATTCTACAGATTGGCCAAAAGATATCGTCGTCGTCGTGGATGGTTAACTGTTGCTTCTTTGATGGTGAAATAGTTTGATACGACACTGGCCAAATAACTAACTGCGCAAAATATGTATATATAGGAACCCATAGATGAAAAATCATTTTCCCATTTTGGATAAAAATCCCCACACTTCCTCGACAGCGGAATGTGCTATATTTGTAAATTCGGTTTTACTAAAAAGATTTGGCATGTGATAAGGGTCTGAGCTATCGAGGGCTATGATCCTTCGGGCTACTTGATTAGTTACTGCTTTTCGGGTATTTGGATATAAGAGAGTTTTCTGGAAACTTTCCATGTCTTCCTTGGAATAAATTCTATTCAAACTGATAGGAGAGATAGAAATACTTGGCATTGATAGTTTGTCTTCTTCATCATTGGCATCTAATTCTAAAGCTTCGGTGGTGCGCTTTAGGTCAGGTGTTACTTCTATCCAGTTATTTTCCAACTTAAAATTCACTGGAAGTAGTGGTTGACATTCTACTTTGGTTCCATGTTCAACTAGGATGTGTGTAATAGCAGTTCTGTATAGTGATCTGTTCAGATAGATCACGGGAAGTTCTCGATAACATTCTGAAGCCTTTCTATAGTCTACGACAACAGCTCTGCATTTAGCAATATAGAATACTTCTTCCATCACTCTACCAACATATCCTGATGTTTCTTTTACCAAATTACCCACGGCGTCGGGCGATTGTTTTGCCATTGCTAATCTGTTTTGTAAAATCTTCTCTCTTAAATGGCATCTTTTCATAATTGAGTCGTAGATGACATCAGCCATTTGTCTTTTTACTGCAATCTCCAAATACAAAAGTTTACTTAGTACTTGAGCCTCGACTTGAGCCATCATGTCTGTATTTTGAGGAATTCGAATGGTACGATGATAATAGAATCCAACCGAATCCTAAAAAAATTTCAAGTAAACGGTTTTGTTCAGTTAGCCAAGCCTTTTGAGCACAAATTTCTTCTGGTTTGGTCAGTTTTGAAGCGAAAACTGTATCTTCGGTTTCCACAACGATGTATCTATTAGGTGAGCATAAACTGGATAGATGTCGTTTCGATGTAACTTCGCCTTCAACATCATCAAAACAATAAACATCATTGTACGGACAGACACCACCAGACCGTAGGGTAACTAGATTTCGTTCGACATCGGCGACCGCCACATAATCTTGGAGTTTAATGGATATTGCTGCAGTAACCACCACATTAGCATATTGGATGGAACCGACGGCGAATCTTACACCTTCGCATCGACCATTGGCGTCGGCAAAACCTTGAAGAGTTGCTGAAACTTCTGTGGTTCCATTCAGAATAAGTTTGGAAATAACACCAGCTCCCATTCCTTTGAGATCTAACTGACGGAATCGGTGAGCCTTCAGGCATTGTTCTGCTTCTATATGCGGAATATATTTTCCAAAGCCTCCGGCTACGGTACTGCGATGACTATGCATGCCGCAATGGTCAATTAGTTGTTGGATAGTCACTTGACAGGTGAGTATGTGTCTTGGCATGGTTTTATTGCCAGCAAAGACAGTTTTGTCAATTCGGTCGCTCGGGCGTGCTATCCTCAGGTGGCAGAGAAAAATCAAAACAAATTAAATTATTTTCATGTTTCCTTTCTTCCAAATCTAAAACATTCAACAAAAATTATACTGGGTGGGGCACGCAAAACTTCCTATATATTTGTCAATTTTGGGTTACAGCAATAATAATCTTGAAGCTATAAAATTGGATACTCTTCTGAGTTTCAAGTGATTTTTACCCTCGAACAGATTAGGCCGTTCGCAGAACTCCATGTGTTTGTAAATTTCAATAGGGTCACATTTTAGCTATCTATAAAAATAAAGCTTTTCCCACGAAAGATGAGCTTGAACCGAGAATATAAATTTGCTATTGATTTTATTACATTAGCATTTTCCTCCAAGTCCACATTTCAAATGCGTCTATGCGGTGGCGATCTGCCTTTCTAACAGTCCAAGTCGCCATACAAAAATATGAAAGAGACAAGAGACCGGAATAGCGACATTTGGGTGGCTTCCATGATATGATTGTCACGCCAATCGATCGATCAAACAACCGAGGTACACTAAACTCTGGACCACCTGACAACGGCTTACTGATATTATTTCAGGATGATGACCTTGGTCTTATTGTAGTAAGGTTAACAATTCACCCTGAGAAGAAGCAATAAGAGTAATATCGTCTGCAAACCTTAAATTAGATATCTTGATTCCACCAAGAGTCACATAAGTGGATGATCTATATGTCGTCGCCATATTGTAAATTCCGTCATTTCATAAAACGGCTAGCCACTTTATGAAACGCGGCCTCATTATGAAATAATCATTTATTTGTCCTTATTTTATAATATGGCTAGTGATTTTAGCCATTTTATAAACTGACCGTTCAAGTACAAATCCATATCAAAGAGTTATAAGTATCAAAGAGCTGGAAAATAGGTTGGAAAAAAACGCTAGGAAGCAAATACCAGATTTGGCCCCATTAGACGCTATCAAGGTGGACATTAGAAACCTGGAAAGCAAAGTTATTACCAAGGCAACTGCGAGAAATTCCAATGTTGAACCAGCACTGTACGAGCTGCAAGAAAGAGAGGCAAGAGCACAAAACGTCCTCGTCTTTGGTTTACCGGAAATTCAAGAATTCACTGATAGAAAAGATAGAATGGAAAGAGATAAAAATGTATATAACGTTCTAAAAGAGATAAATCCAAACATCAGTTCATGAATAATCTCAAGATAATGAGAATAGGAAAATACGAAGTGCAGAAAGTGAAACCAGTTAAAGTTATATTTCCAAATAAAGAAGGAGCACTGAATTTACCTAAACAAAAATAAAACTACCTGAAATAAATAGAGTTTATATCAAGGGAGACCAAACAGAAGCACAAAGAAAATATATGAAAGAATCAAGTCAGGAATTAGAAGAAAGAACAACACCTGAAAATAAAGTATGTTCATGGAGTGCCCAGAATCGTCACCTTGAGGACTCAACCATTGTCAAAATACTACGTAACAAAATAGCTGCTGAATCTGTGGTCAAAGTCACCTATTGGTATTCAAACCTGCGTTCTTTTCAGAATAAGATTGACGAGTGGAGAACAAATATTCAGAAAACCAACCCTTGTTTCACTTGCATCAAACATACTTGGCTTAATGCAGAAATATCAGACGGCCTTATAGCTCTGCCAGGATATCGGACCTTTCGTAAAGATAGAAAGGATAAAGAAGGTGGAGGTCCACTTATATACATCAAGGAATTAGAAAATAAGGGGCGTCAGATAAGAGCCAGCACGCCATCTTTTGGGCTTTATGACATACATTAAATATTTTTTAATCACAGGTGTTCAAATTCTCTGTAAGTGATTGACTAATTTACAAGTAGATGGCGACATCTTCAATATCAATTCGTTTACACAGTAATTCACAGTGGACTAAATAATTTTATTCAGATACAAATGAAATAATAGTATTTCACATTATTAGCTAGGTTAAACAGTTTTACTGGCGAAGTTATTATGCTTCCGGAACTCAGCGACATCTTTTAGAGAAGCGCTGAACAAACGTTTGGTTTGAGTCTTTGCTGAAAATGACAGCAATCCCCTCGTTGTTTGACAGATTTTGATTAATTTTGTGATATTATAATTTTCGAAAATTCTGTTCTATTCAATTTTTCCAGCATTTTACTATCCGAAATTTTGGACATTTATTGTTAGTGTGCTACTCTATATGTTTATCCCTTTTTCATTTAAAACCGTGACCAAAATTTGCATATTGTTGTCAACAAAATGGTAATAATTTTACTATTTAGAATGCGTATTCTGCAACCAAAAATGCTTGAACTTCTACTCCCATCTATTATTGTTATGAACATAGCTTCATTTCACTGAAAAGTGGTCTAAATTTGGAATTGAACAGGAATTAGTGAAGGTCTGTAAATGACATTTTATTTAAACGCCCCTCTTAAGAAAACTCGTTCATTTTATTATTTTGAGAAACTTTTCTCTATAATTTTTTTTTGTAAAGTTGAAAATAAGCGAACTACCCCTAAAAACAAAAAGGTGGTGAAAAAAAGTGTCCTAAGGGAAGTGTCCCCCCGCTGAATGGGGGTGAGTTACAAAAAAAGTTAATTGGGAAAAATTGTAGGAAATGTAATCCTATAAAACTTTTATAGGGATTTTTTTTTTGTGAAAAAATAAATAAACCTTAAACTACCCCTACTGAAAAACGGCAGGGGGTGAGTAAAAACTGCATAAAGCAAAAATGCTGCATGTAGAAAAAAAATTTCACGTTGGTTAAAATTTTTCATTTTGATTATAAAATTTCAAACGGCCCTTATGACCACAGACGGCCCTTAATCAAAAAAGTCTTTGGATAAAAATTGTAGATAGAATAATGTTGCACATCTTTTATTTGAAACATTTTCTTGTAAAATCAATAGGTACCAAGTAATCGCCAATGGCGCACTTTCAACCCCTATAGCGCAAAACGCCAGAGGGGTGAATGTTTGATATTTTCGGTTTTATGATCACCCACCCGCCCCCTATCATTCCTGACAAGTTCATTTGGGTAGGAATTTTTTTTTTGCAATACATGTATTTTACGACTATTTTTCTAGACTATAAGGGAAGGTAACTTTTAAAAGACAAACAAGGAACTTCTGGAAGGCAAACTATGACGTAATCAACAACCACCTGCATAATCAAAACTTTGATAACACAAACACCAACTTGACCAAATATAAACACTGTAAAAACATCATCAAAACAACCATTGATAAATTCATACCACTAAAATCCACAAGGAAAAACCCCCAGAAGCCATGGATAAACGAGGCCGTATTCAAGGAAATAGAAAAAAAACGCAGATTCTGGGATAGGAACAGACAAAACATTTCAGATGAGAACTATCTGTTGTATAGATTGCAGAGTAACAAATTAAAAAAATACAATAGCTGAAGCAAAAATATTTTATGAAAATAGAATAATAGAATCAAAGTCAAACAAACAATTCTGCAAGTATGTATCTAAAAGTCTAAACTCAAAAGTGTCAATAATCACATAAAAGGATGACGACACAAACAACATTATTGCCAGCAATGAGGATACATCGGAAGATGTTTAAATGACTGGACTACAAACTCTGATAAGAACATACAAACAGATATTATCTACCTGGAATATGATAAAGCCTTTGACAAAGTGCCATTCAAAAGGCTTCTCTACAAGTTGAGCCATTTTGCAGTAAGTGGCGGTCTACACACCTGTATAGGAGAATGTATACCAGGCCGAGTGTTTGAAGTTAAAGTCAACTGAGTCTGCTCTTCTTTCCACAACGTAATTAGTGGAGTCCCGCAGGGCTCTGTGATGTGGACCTCTGTACGTTAGCGACCTGGCTGAGAACATGAAGACAAACATCATATTTTTTTTCAGATGACATCAAACTGTACTGTGATGCACTGAGGCAATATTCGGACATAAAAGACGATCTGGATGTAATTCAGACATGGTCTGAAAGATGGCAGATGAAACTCAATGCTGACAAATGTGTGGTGCAGAAAATCCAGGAAATGACTAATGTCTGCCCAGCGAGTCTGTGTCTACGGGGCAACGGTAAGGGGAATGCAGTAGTAAAAAAAATGGCTGATTTCATTCATAAAATACCCAGCTGCGTGCGGAATTTTTTGGAAGTGTGATCGTATTGCAACTCGTACACGAAAATCAGCAATGACCAAATCTCCGCCACTGGATATGTCAATATAAATCGATATTCCATGATGGGAGGATAAAATGACGTGAGCCTTGGCCAATAGCGAGAAGTAAGGTGACGTTAGCTCATTGACAACCGTATGGTTCCCCATGACAACGGCGATCCTGCCAAAAACTCCACCAATCAGGTTCATCCAGGACGAATGCTTGTCAAATTGTCAAAAGCTGATGGTATCTTTAGAAAATGTCAATTTTTTACAATAGACCAAACTGAAGAAATCAGGATTAAGATAAGGATAGGTCTAACAACCACGTTAAAATATTTAGCGTTTTATTATTGTTATCAATATTTTGTTATCAAAAAATGAATTTTCAAATTAACTATACTTCATGCCTAGTATTTTCGCTTTTTTATAATTAAACGTGGCAACATGGCACATTTATGTCCGAATTCCTTCCGTAGACTCAGATCCGCTGGGCAAACAATATATCCTAAATAATTGTTTGCTGCAGCACGTCAACGTCAACTCGCAAAAGGACTTGGGCATTATAGTATCTAGTGACCTGAAATGGGAAAAACACATCACCTCAGTTGTCAAGAAAGCCAACTCATTTACATTCCTTACAAGAATATCGTTCAGCAATACTAGTCCCCAGATGATACTACAGCTATACAAAACGTACATAAGGCCCAATATTGAATATACCCACTCAGTGTGCTTATTATATAAAAGATAGATATTTGTTGGAGGGAGTGCAACCAAGATTCAGCAAGATTCCACAGCAGTTTCGTCACACCCCATACAAGTATAGAATGAGGCAACTCGGGCTAACATCTTCATAAGAGAGAAGAACAAGAGGAGATCTGATTGAGACCAAATTTTGAACAATTACCATGACAGCTACCTCCAGGAAATTTTCTCACCGAACATAAACCCACATCTTCGGGGACACTCTAAAAACTGAACAAAGAAAGACTGGCTACGACATATATACATTTAATATAGAAGGAATTGGTTCAACTATAAAAATGGGTGTAGTATATAAAAATCCCATACATTTTAGACAAATAAAAAGATCCTCCACAGTGACCTACATATATTTTTAGTAAAAAATTATTGAAAACCATCTTCTTTTTTCCATGACTATACACACGATTGCCGTAAATAAAACATTTAGGTACCCTAGATAACTGCGTCTTTTATCGTTTTAGCAGACTGTTGTAAAACGCTTTATTACAACGGAATGTTCTATAAAGTAAGAAATAAAATGTTATAGGGCCCATTTTGGCGACATATTAGATAATATAAAGTTGAACATTCGGGATGTTTCAGGTGTAAATATTACATATTATCCTTGTCTCATAGTTATGTGACTTTTCCTGTAAATTGCCAAATGGCTGACCATCGTATTCAGAATACGCTTATAAACTTTAATCGTACAGGAAGCTTTATCAAAGAATATCATAATTGGTCTTGCTCTCTGTAACAAGTTGAGTTGAAAAAAAGCCTTAATTTGAGTCTTCACATGTGAATATGCTTGTTACACTCTTCGAAATCTCGTGGTAAAAGAAATCACTTTAAGTAGATTTTAATTTGGAATGATTTTTCTATTTTCTATTCCGGTGCATCATCTTGTTTTCGAATATCTAATTTCCTAACTAGAGGACGACCCAGAAAAAACGATTGGAATGTTTAGGAAAATAGAAAATAGCATTGACTCTCTGTTTCCAGTTTTCCATTTAGTTCTAAGTTTCTGTTCAATAAACATCCACGTCTATTTTCTTCTTAAAATTTGTATTTGGGACAGCTAGAAGGCAACCCCAAAGAAATAATTAGAGCTAGTAGAAAATAATATCGTTCCAGCACAATGAGTTTTTGTATGGCTTATTCTCGTTATTATAAGAACTACCTGCAAGAAATCAAAGAGGAAAGGACAGTTACCAATAATTAATTGAATCGTATATATCAAATCTCTCTTCTTTCCACACTCTCAGGTTCAGATACAGAAAAACGCAGAAACATTTCGAAGTGATTTACAAAGTTGTACAATAAAAGCAAATAAAGCAATTCAAAATTCTCTCAAGGGCCATTGATGACTGAGGTATCATTCACGAGATTTTTTATTTATTTCATGATTGTTATAGTTTGAATAAATTACCTACTTTAATACTTCTGTTATTTGACTCTTTTTATATTTTGGTGATAAGTATATTCCAGTTGAATAGGATTTGGTTATGCTTCATGGTTATTGAGTAGGTACTCTCGAAATTATTTGAAATTCTTCAATTTCAACAGTATGTACACAAATCATATGGGCGATTGAGCGGATCCCGCTTGTTAATTAACAGGAGACCCATAATATGCTCAGTTTGCTCAGCGAATAATTATTAGGGGTGGGTCAATAAATTAATAAGTACAGAACGGCAAGATCGCCACTGAGTTTGAAAAATAAAATAGATAGAAAATTGAATAAAATAAAATATTGATCCAGAAATACACCTAGAAAATAATTAGCAAACGGTAATTGATAATTCTGGAAAGGAAAAAAAATAAGGCATACAACTCAACCAAATCTTGACATAGGTAAACCCCATAAAACACTCAAGCAATTTTCAAATCAAAATAATATAGTATATTTTCACAGTGAGGTTAAAGATCAAGAATTGTATAATTTAAAAAAATAAAATTAATTGTTGGTAAGACATTTCAAATAAAATCAATAAATAGAGGTTAAATCTCAATCAAATTCTAAAAAATAATAATAGTACAATGTACCGCAATATATTTAGTTGCCATATCATATAAGTTCATTAACAGTCGCTAGCCATATCATTATCATGAAATGAAAATATAAAAGACTTTCCAGAAAACTGATAAAAAAAAGAATGATTGAAAATTATATTGATGATTATAGTCAGCTTCTGCCTAATGAGTAAAATCAATAAAATCAACTTGCACCTGTATGAAATCAAAAGTTGGGTTGAATGGTCAGGAGATATAATAAAAATCCTCAAATATATAAGTATAGGACCCCAGTTGAAAATTGAGCAATTTCCGACGATGTAGGTACTTACTCAATAATTTTAAATTTAGAGCATGTTGTCCAACCTTGACATTAGTACAGATTATTGATTATGAATAATAAAATTTACATTCCTAAAACATGGCAATATCAAAAGTTAAGTAAAGATAAATCTATAATAAATTCGATAAATCGAAAATTTAGAAAATTAATTATTCCACCATCACCTCGATGTCAAGAATGTGAAATTTTAAATATGTGAATGTAAGTCATATCAGAAAAAAAAATCATCATTATTGTTAATTGATTGTAAAGTATTTATAAAAAAGGTATTAAAAAGTATTAATGAAACTTTATACAAGCCTTCATTCCATTAAAAAGGTAGAGTACGGTAGGCATTTATTCATTCCGTACAGGTATATGGCACCTAGCACAATCCCATTGATCAGATTTAAAATTTAAACCAATTAAACTTTGAGTGCCATACGCGCGTACGGAATGTAAATCAGTGCCATATGAACTTACGGATTGTAATAAAGTTATGCGTTATGCGCACGCAAAATCACATCTCCAGCGGCCAAATATCCTGTTTTATTTTTGTGGTTATTGTGATTGTCGGGCTTACATAGGTAGGTACTTGTATGGAGTTTGGCCTTGTGTCCTCTCTTTCGATTTCTTATTAATATTTTGAACAATAAATTGGCAGTCATTGCTTCGCCGACAATATTTTAATCAGATCTCTTGTGTCTATTTGGATGTTTGAAATCGCCATGCATGCTACGACAACGTTGCTACCTTTGAATTATAAATATTTTAACCCTTAAGTGCATACTCGGGGGTACAGAAGACCCCAACAGTTTTCTTTTCTCCACAGCTTTTCAATAGGCTTGACACCATCGCTATAATTGCAGATACCTTTCGAGGACAAGTTGAATGGTTAGTACACGCGGAGGCGTCGTGATGCACAATACCATAAAAAAAAAAATTGATACTTTGTTATCAGACCCCCACGTGTTTATCAACCCTTGCTCGGTGTGCCCAAGAAGCAAAAATATAAAGACAAAATATTTTTGTGTGAAATGTCGCGCAAAAATGTGCCTACACATATGAAAAATGTCTGCGAACAATGATCTTGTTGAAACATCTGATGAAGATCCAGAGTGAGGAATAATATCTACCTACCATATTTATTTATTATTACCATTTTTGTTTGCTTCTAATATTTTTTGTGTTTTTGAACTTAAAATTTGATTTTGATTATTCATTATACTGTATTTATGAGAAAAAGTATTAAAAATTTAACTAAAACCAATAATGTTTTTTTACACAAAAATACAGCATAATGATGTAGGGTGCTGCGGACATCCCATGTATGTACCAAAGTTTCAAACCCACGTATGCACTTAAGGGTTAAACAGAGTCCTGGAAAATATAGAGCAAACCTAATTACTGAGAATGACGCTAGATGATGGGTGGAAGAATTTGTGTCTTTGATTATATAATTCAATAAACATATTGCCGCTTTCCGCTTTCGCTCTGTTACTCTATGCGTATATTTTCTTTGCTCACCGAAACTTAGATCAATACACCGCATGTTTGTAATGTGTTACCTAATTATTACATTTGAAATTCCGTAAAAAAATTGGAAAATCAATACGCCATACTAGCACTCAATTCGAGATAGAGTATTTACTGCAGTTTAAAATAAATATATAGTTGAAAAGAATAATTGACGCTTATCTCGTTTTCAGCTTAACAAAATTTTCTGCTGCAATAACTAGGTATGAAATTCTTTGAGTGTATATGGCACTGATTTACATTCCGTACGCGCGTATGGCACTCGAAGTGTAATTGGTTTAAATTTCAAATCTGACCAATGGGATTGTGCTAGGTGCCATATACATGTACGGAATGAATGAATGCGTACGGTAGCCATCCATTTTTTGTCTCTTGACGAGGGAAGTTGCAGAATCTAGCCTTGAATCAATGTAGATAGAGGCTAGAAGTTCACAGTTTTCGTCGAATATGGAGGTACAATAGTTGTCAACACGTGAGGGACTTGGTTCTTCTAGGAAATCCCTTCAAAAACTCTATGTCCATGCTCCACGAAAATGGTGATCATAGGAAATGTGGCTTGTTAGGAACAGTTTTTTCGAAAGAAAAGGCTCCTCAGAAAAACAGCTCCTCGGAAAAACAGCTCCTCAAAAAAACCCTAAGTAATAGACGCTAATAGAAGCTGAATAGGTCTGATGAGTTCACCTATCTAAATTTTTTTAGAAAATCCGTGAGATCAGCGCATGTTAGGGTTGCTAGATATTGGAGTTCGGTCTCTGAGGTAATTTCAATGTATCTTATGTGGAATGAATGATTGCTGTACAGCTTTGTAAATTTTGTCTCAATTCAGGTTTTTGAACCAGCACTTAGACTCGCTGTTGAGCAGAAACTTAATTTAGTTTCAATTGAAGAATTTTTCACAAAAATTTATAAGGAAATAGAAAGTTATCACATCATTAATAACGGTCGTTAAGTTATTTGAGCCTGTTCCATCACTCATTTTGGCTATAATAATAAACTTTATTGGCATGCAGACGTTTCAATTAAAATTGATGAAAAATGCTCTTGCCTCGACTAGAATTTGAACCCAGGATCCTCGCATATCCAGTGCAACGCTCTACCAACTCAGCTACCGAGACCTGTCTCATTTCTACCTTGTC